TATATTAAGGATTTAAGTATCGGTTTAGCCAAAGGCATCATCTGTACTTGTTTAAAACTTAAAAGAAAGGTGTGAACGGATAAAAACTCACTTGGAATAGCAAACTTCACCATTACCACCACATAACACTGCCATGTCAGTTGCTGTACACATTAGCAATCCACCATCCGTAACCGATTGAATAGCCGGGTCAAGGAAAATAGACGGTGATCCATATGGATCAAGATCAACCTAAGAACATTAATAGCGAGAATTACTTTAACAGAAGCAACTCTATATGCAAATGATACAATATTGTGAATATATTAATGGTTACCACATCAAATTCTTTAGGGTGGGTAAGCATATGGACACGAGCATCGGTATGATGTGACTCCACCTTTGAAATAGCAACGGAGCCATTGAACTTTATGTTTCTCTGGCAAGCTTCCACGGATGCTATTAAAAGAAATAGGAACAACATTAGGCATTGAAATAGGAGAGCTACGAGAAAAAAAATATATCTATACAGGAATGAAGGAAAAATTTACCAAGGTCATTATCTAATGCCACAACCTGACCAATTCCTTCTATTTCTCGCGCATATCTTAGAGCCCGTAACCCAGAAGCTGACAAAGCCTGAAATTTTAAGTATGCAACAAAAAAGAAAGTTAAGTTATTTAACTGCAAGATCACAATAAGCTATGAAACAAGAGGGCGAGTAAAAGAATTAGGAGAACCTCAAGCACTTTTGGTGGCTTGGCTTCTCTTCGTGCAAATCCTTCTGTTGTCTTAGCAGGATCTATAGATGCAGAGCTTGGTCCATCCTCAGATGCTACTTTGTGTTCACCATTATTCCTACCGTTCTCACTAGGAGTTTCATCCTTGGAAGCAACAGAAGAATCCTTGTCGTTCACTTTGGAAGCTGGTCTAGCTCTTTTAGATGGCTTACCCTCATGCTCTTGCTTGCGTTTGGATATAAATTCCCTTAGGACAGCAATAGACATGTCTCTATTGTTCACCTAATCAGTCAATATAGACATAAAGCAAAGAGTTCAGGTTCACTCTTAGATTTCACGGTACTTCAAACAGGCATACATCATTGACTAAACCATGAATCAACTACTTACTATGAAACTGACTAATAATCATAAAAATCCAAACTTTAAACAGTAATTGAGAGATTCCTAGATTAAATAAAAAAAAGGTAAAGAAATTCTAGTTCCAGAACAAGGGATCAGCTAACTGATTTTGAATCAATGTTCAGTGTATCTTACCAAAGCTACAACATGTGGAGAAAAATCAAAGCAGCCAATTCAGATAACACATATATATATATATATATATATATATGTCAGCTTCAAACTTAAAGAAACACACAAAATTTTGATAAAGAAGAGAAATTTGGGAACCTGAGCTTTATTGAAGAAGACTTGATTCTTCTTGTGCATGAGAATCTCAGCTTCTCCTTCCTTAACAACAGTATAATCATTCAGATCCGTTTCCATTGCTTCGTCTTCTTTAAGTCTTTCTCTCTCTCTTTCACAAATTCACACACCACCAATATCGAGTTATGTAAACTCAATGACAAAGCACAAATACGTATTGAAATATAAATCCTATCCGCTTCGTTTCCAAAGTGAAAGCTGAGAGAGATTGATTGGAATTGGAAGGAGAAGAAGGATGAACTTAAACTTCAAATTTAAAACCCTACTCCGGATTCCGGACATACAACACTATTTGCCTTTTTTCTTTTTCTTTTTTTCCTTTCCTTTAAAATTTGTTTAGAGATTTCCTTAATCTGTTTTTCAGTTACTTTTCTGATTGGATTTGGACATAACTGAACAAAATGAAGATAGTGGGCATGAATGTGTATATAAATAAAAAGTCAAGTATGTATTTTAGACCAAAAGTAAATATAAGGGTGTGAATGTAAGAAAATCAAAAAGTACAGGGATGCGAGACTAAGTATAAAATTAGGGGTTTGAATATAAAAAAATGGCCCATGCAGGTTTCGAACCTGCGACCTTCGCGTTATTAGCACGACGCTCTAACCAACTGAGCTAATGGGCCATTTGCGACTATTTATTTATGCTGTTTTAATATCTATTAAGCTCCATGTGCGTACAAGTAGATTTTAGAGTCTTAATTTCTTTCCATTCTCAGAAAAGTCATCTAGAAGAAAAGATGTTGTTGATTTCATTCATATTTGGAGGTTATGTTGCATATAAAAAAACCTACCAAGGGTTTGCTCACTAGTTGTTTGAATGATTTTTAAAATAGATTTTGTTGAGATATAGGAAACCTATATATATTATATGTATGGTAGGTAAGATACCAGCTTATAAGCCTCACTATATACAGTGTGACAACATGTTTCTTCTACTTTGGAGATTTTGGGTTGATCATATCAAAACCATGTGACACATGAAAATGACGATCGATGTTTTTTTTTTGCTATTGAAAACATTCCCAAATGGTAAGTTTGCTCTTTGCATTCGTGTTGCACTTTCTGCTATCAAATCATACTTCTTGACAAGTATTAAAATTCCTAAATGAGTGAGACTAGACTTTAGTAGTGTCGATCTCGCCAAAGATTTAGATTTGAATCATTCAAAAAAAAAAATTATAAGGAAGACAAGAGATAATAATCCAAAGTTAACAAGAATAGTGTATTAGTAAATCAATAGGGGTAAAATATAATAAAAGGTAAAAAAAAAAAAAAAAAAACTTTTAACAGAGGGACCGGACAAGACACTGTTAGAAAGGTGACTCCTTTGAGGCCACGCCTGCCACAAAAGTCAAAGCTTACTCACTATTCAATCATATGTTGACACGTGTCCTTCACCCACTTGTGTTTTTATTGATTTTTCCGTTTACTTACGTCTTTTTGCTGTCTGTAAAAAAAAAAACAATGTGTACGGACATTTCCCCTACGTCACCTGAAGATAAAGATCTTTGCTGGTAGATTCTTTGTCCGAAGGAGAAATTAAGATTTTGTATGGAAGGGTAGATTAAAGGCAGATTAAAAGCAGATAATACACATATTGGGAGAACTGATATTTTTCCTCCATTCACACAAAATTAATATAATGGCAGTTCAAAAAAGGAAATATTATTAAAAAATAATTGATCTGTTGGCAGATCAAAAATAAGAAGGATATTTGTACTGCACTATGAACAGTAAAAAAGCTGGAGATTTGGAGTGTTTTTAAATGAACTGCTTTTTTAATAAAAAATTAATAAAACTTGATCTGCATTTAATATGCCATATCTGTTTAATCTGCTTTTGTTCTGCTGGGTATATTTGAACTGCTTGATCTGCTCTGACATATTTATTATCTCCATTCAAAACCAAAATCTACGATTTAGTTTACTAAGATTTCTACAAAATCGTCGATTTAGTTTACTTACAATCGTATACATTTGCAACAAATCTTCAGATAAACACATTCCATAAGTCCATGTATAGTTAAATTTTAATTGTCCAGAACATTAATTTTGATCGAGTATGAAAAATATAATAAGTAAATACCGTACCGTAACTAAAACCTAAACCTAAAAAAACAAAACAATTACAGTAATTTTGTTTTCTGCCCAAGACTAATTTTACCCTTGTTGACCCAAGAAAACATATATTACCCTTCTTGGCGCCTCACCTACAAGACTTTCATTAATTCCCAATACTCTTGCAAGCAATGCCCCAAAAATAGAAAAAGATTGGAGACATACTAATTAAATCCACCTTTAAGTTTAATAAAGAGTAATCAACTAAGTATATATAAAAAAAAAAAATTGTACAGTATGTATATGTGGTGTGTATTATCTCCTCCCATGTTCTCTCCCAATTAAACAATTCATGGAGGAAAAAGTATCGTGAAATGGCCTTTGCTTAAAGGAAACCAAATCAAACCTAGAAGAAACAAAACACACACAAATTTTAACCATTTAAGTTAGGAAGAATAAGGAAAATGCATAATAAAACTGAGGGTATAAATTTCTTAAACAAACCCAAAAAATAATGCATAAAGAATGGGTTTTTTTTGACAAAACTTAAACGTTGTCCAATAGATAGATAGATAGATAGATAGATAGGGAACTATGAAGGAAGCAAATAGAAGAGCGACACGTACATATGTCCATTTTAAGGTAGGAGAAGCTTTTCTGCGACTTGTGAAGTAGAAAATGATGATACCTGCTTTCGTTTCTTTTATCTTCTCTTAGATACCCACCACCAATACATATATATATCATGTAATGTATGTATGTGTTCCAAGCTTTACTTTTCTTTTTCCTATCATGTCAATTCTCATCTCCCACCCAGTTGGACATAACCTTATATTCAAAGCCACTGCACTGCACTGCTGTTGTTTGTACCATAGTACAATATTACATTTCTAAGTCATTCAAATTCCAAAACTTGTAGACTTTATTACAAAGGAAGTAGCAAATTTTCGTATGTACGTGTACGTTGTGTAGAGTTACACCATCTATAATATATAAGCACAAAATCTATTGAGATGAAGATTTAATTCTAGCCTTATTAGTGTGTGGAACTTGAGCTATAATGGATGAGTTTTCTGACTTTACAATAAGGCTGTTAAGTTTCACATATATATACACTAGTGCAATACTTTTACGCTTATATATGAATTAATATGGAATAAAACAAACATTAATTGGAAGGTTTTAAAACGTACGTTGTCATCATTCTATATTTTAATTCAACCACTTAATAAAGAAAAGAAAACCACAAAGCTAGTATGAATTTAGAATTTGAGCTCGATGATTTATTCAGTTTTTTCTTAGTAATTACTTAGGGAATGTATGTATACGTAGACATGAAATATGTAAATCAATAAAACATTAAAACTTGAATATTTCTTAATTTGTTTCAAAACAATGACGTCTGAGTGACACGCGCATGGAAGAGAGCTGTGAGGATGTTTTGTTTTTTTTTTGCTACTATAGGAGAGAGAGAAAGAGTAAAGAAGTAGAGAGAGAGAGAGAGTGTGTGAATGAAAACACACCAAACAAACCCTAATGATCTCTCACCCTCACAAATTTTCTTATCTCTTTGATAGGCTTTTATAGATTCACAAAAACTTTTCTTCAGATTCACAATCTCATCACAACCCTTCAAAAAAAAAAAAAAAGATCTAAAGAATAAACAAGAGCTAGTAGCCCTTTTATCAAATCAAAACCAAAACCAGCTGCCTGATCAGAAAGCTAAAGTTTCCTCTTTTATTTTCTCTCTATATAGATATCCCTCATCATCTTCTTTTCCTAGCTTGTTCTTGAAAATAAAAGAAAAATAAAAAACTAGGGTTTACTTCTCCAAAAGATAAGATCTTTCGCCAGATAAAAAGTCAGTCATGTTTGTGTGTGTCTGTATATAGACAAAACATTGCATACCCTAATAAGGTCACACATATATTAGCTACAAATTTATAAATAAATTAGGGGATTTTTCTTTTCTTTTTTTTGTGTGTTTGAAAAAATGGGAAGAGGAAGAGTAGAGCTGAAGAGGATAGAGAACAAAATCAACAGACAAGTGACGTTTGCTAAGCGTAGGAACGGTCTGTTGAAAAAAGCTTATGAGCTTTCTGTTCTCTGCGATGCTGAGGTCTCTCTCATCGTTTTCTCCAACCGTGGCAAGCTCTACGAGTTCTGCAGCACCTCCAAGTACTTCTTCTTTAATTTCTCTCTCAGATACATTTTATAAAACAATTGCTCTAGATCTGTGTCTAGATCTTCTTTCTGAGTACTTTTGAAGTCTTGAGAGGTTTTGTTTTGTTCTTGATTTCTTTTTAACAAACTTGATATATTTTCATTAGTTTCTAAATCTGATCTCTTAGGTTTTGATTATAGAAGGATAATATATAATTTAGTTCATATTGATTGGATTTCGAGATCTGATCTATTCTCATGTCAAAAATTGCAACTAATTGTATGTATAGAGATTCAAATTACTTTGTAGGAGAGCTAGCTAGGTAAGTGTCATATATAATTAATGATGAATAAGTAATATCATTGGCTCTACACAGATATATATGTGATTAGGACTATCAAAAGTAAATTAAAGATTCACAGTCTTCAATAAAAATAAGAAGATCCAACGTAGAATAATAAGTTTGTGGTTCCATGCATTAACCAGTCTCAACCTCATGCAGACATTTAAGCACCAAATTAATCTTATAATAACATCTTATCTTTTTATATTAATCAATCCGCCCAAGATCTTCTTTGTTCCAGTTTTTTTTTTTTGTATTAATATATATATATTTTTGAATTAAATTTAATTCTTAATTCCTGTCATCAAATGAATAGTTTCTTGATTTCTTCTTCTCCTAATTTGTGTGTTTGATCTTTCAGCATGCTTAAGACACTGGAAAGGTACCAGAAGTGCAGTTATGGCTCCATTGAAGTCAACAACAAACCTGCCAAAGAACTTGAGGTTTGATCTTTCTTCTTCTTCCTGATCAACTAATTTTGTTTGATATTAACAAAATCACTTCAAATTTTCTCAAGATTCGAAGATACATATATAAGTGTTCCAACATTATTGTCTATTTTCTTGGCATCTTTCAGAACAGCTACAGAGAGTATTTGAAGCTGAAAGGTAGATATGAAAATCTGCAGCGTCAGCAGAGGTATGTATATATATATACATTGGTTTTTATGCACATTATATAAATAAATGTTAGTGTTTGATGCATGTAAGTGTGTGTTAATGCTGCAGAAACCTACTTGGAGAGGACCTTGGACCTCTGAATTCAAAGGAGCTAGAGCAGCTTGAGCGTCAACTAGACGGCTCTCTGAAGCAAGTTCGCTGCATCAAGGTGATTTTAATATTTCAATCATTGTATATATACACAAAAAGATTCACACAAATGATCTCTCTCTCTCTCTCTCTATATATATATATATATGTGTCTGAAAATGATTGTTTATCTTTTTCTTTCTCAGACGCAGTATATGCTTGACCAGCTCTCTGATCTTCAAGGTAAAGAGCATATCTTGCTTGAAGCCAACAGAGCTTTGTCAGTGAAGGTATATGATGCTTCTCTTTCTCTCTCTGTATGAGTCTAAGTTCACAATAATCTTCAACTGCTACATGCCTAGCTCCTCTTTTGGATTATTTCTGTGAAATGGTTTCAAGAAAGTTTGAATAATGTTGTGTTTTGTTTAGCTGGAAGATATGATCGGCGTGAGACATCACCATATAGGAGGAGCATGGGAAGCCGGTGATCAACAGAATGTTGTCTACGGACATCATCAGGCTCATTCTCAGGGACTATACCAATCTCTTGAATGTGATCCCACTTTGCAAATTGGGTAAATCATACAACTTCTCTTGCCTTAACACATCAACTTAAGTGATAAACAGTTAATACAGTTTGGTTAAGCCCAACATTGTCTTTGTTTTAAAGATATTTGGTTAAAACTCGTGTTGTTTAGTCAAAGTTTTCAGCACTTTAATTTGATGTCTATAGGAGGGAAACAGGTTGTGGGCTTAGATTGTAAATTCCTAAATTAAGATGTTGTGGTGATGCAAACAGGTATGGCCATCCAGTGTGCTCGGAGCAAATGGCTGTAGCGACGCAAGGTCATAACCAACCAGGAAACGGCTACATCCCTGGCTGGATGCTATGAGTGATACTTCTTCACCCATTAAGGATCTTAAGAAAGTACTGGTGGGGTCTTGGCGCGTGAGGTCTTTGATCTTATGCATATGAATAAGAATGAATAGTAATGAATTTTGTGTTTATGTATGCACAAGACTTTGATTTGGATACATAAGTGGCTATAACCATAATAGCCTCCAATGTCTCTCCTGTTTCAGGAGATGTTTGTGCCTTTAGTAACCTTTGCTTCTATGTATGGGATTGTAATGTGTAAGAACTAAAATGTTAAGATTAACCATGTCTCATCTGGTTTAATTATTCATTCTGTTTTTTCATATTACAATATGAACAAAGACTACACTGTTAGATGCTAACCGACATAGCCTGCAACAGAGGCTAATAAACTTTCAAGTTAACAGTGAGATTCAACATTTGACAATGCCACCAAGATCCAACTTGTTTTATTTTCAATTCGAAAGAGTACAGAACAGATAATTACAACAACTGGATCTTACAGTTACAGACACAGGACAGGTAATGAAATCTGTCCTGAAAGATACAATGGTACAGAGTTCTGCTGAAGAATGGACTTTCTGGTTTACTACATTTTTCAATTGTTTAACGATACAGGATGAATTGTATTAACTTCCATCAGTACTAATTGTTCTAGAGTTTGGGGTTTGTGCTTTTTAATATACTTCTTCCCCATTAGTAAAGTCTCCATCAAGGAACTGCTCCCTGAAACACATCAAGTCACATTGTTTAACTTGGTTTCCCTCTTAAGTTTTAAAGTTTACGAGGTAACAGAGACGTTTTTCCAGAAACTTCAACTTTTCTTACCTGAGTCTTTCGCATAGGCGGGCTAAAGCTTCGGAACCCATTCTGAATGCAACATCTTGAATCTTTGAAGCATTTGAGAGGTTCACACTGTCTGCTAATTGAAATTCACACAACTCCTTCAATGAAAATGCATCAGTTAAAACAGCCGAATGACCACCTCCTGCTGCTAGCTTCCTCACTTGTCCTACGCACCTAAATGAAACACCAGAGTTCACGTTAAATTTAACTGAAAATATTACAATGTTTGCATCACAAACTGTTTTATATCTTTGCTTTGATTTAACAATATAAACTGTTTGAGCTATACCAGTCTACAGGCGATGGGTACCAAGCATATGACGATTTCTCATTTGCTGCTTGACCATAGCTATTATAACCCCATCCGCAAATGCGTCCCTCTCTCATATAAACGAGCGTGTGAGAATGTCCACAAGCAACAAGCCGGACATCAGTTGGGATGACTAAAACAGGGACATTTCGTAGAAGCATTTCGCTTCCATTAGAGACTTTAAACAAAAAAACAGATTGAGGACCAAGTCCTAGCTGTCCTGCTTGGCCACCACCCCAAGCATAAAGTGCTCCTTCCAAAGATAAAGCACAAGTGTGTACACCACCACAAGCAACTTCTTTCATTGACACACCATCAAGACCATTGACTCGTCTTGGTATTAACTCCTTATCCTCGGACTGAAGAGAAACATGCCCAAGTTGACCCATGCTTCCTAATCCCCAAGTATAACTGCAGCATAAGAGATAAGCAGTGGACACTGAATAAGATAACCAAAATAAATTAAGCGAAAGGGAAGGAGACTTGCATAGTCAGGAATCCATTTGCTTCCTCAAGCATTCCATCAGCTAGGATGTGATGAGATCAATATCTCCATCAGAAGGATTTCCTTCCCCGGACCCTTGCACAGAGAATTAGCTACCCATGCCATGTGAATAACCACAACGTTTTCAAGAAAAGGCATATAGATAACTTACACCTCGCCTGTATCAGATACAGCAGCAGTATGGTATTCCCCACATGAAACTTGCATAATCTTCACAAGCTCAGGTGCTTCATCAAGGAACTTCGCATAAGCAGTTATCACACGAGGTGCTTGTAGTCCTTCACAAGTGACTCCTCTACCAAGTTGGCCTTGTTCATTATAGCCTTATAATTTCCATGGAAGACATACAAAATCACAAAAAATATTACCAAATAAACAGGTTTTAGTGCATAACAAGATCTCCAAGCATTCTTACCCCAAGCTTGAAGAAGGCCTTCTTCTGATAAGGCCACAACATGAGCTGTCCCACAGGATACTTGGCGGATCGCCTATAATATGTGCATATATCACCAAATCACTGTTTACACTAATATGTTTCAATCATTCGATAGGTTTTTAGTACATACCGTTGTAACAGGAAATGCCCCAGAAAACAAGCGTGGTAAATTTGATCCCTGTCATGAAGAAATTTGAGAGATTATATGAATAGCACATGAGGTGGCAATTCCAGTCATGATAATGGAACCTGCAATACCTGGTTTTGGCCCCAAACCCATAGTCTACTAGTGGAAAGAGTACCGTCATTGTCACGGGGTTCTGCTATAGCTGCAGTGCAAAAAGCTCCACAAGACACAAATTTCACAAATTCTGATTGCAGCTGCTTAACCTTCTTTGGATGTTTCCTCCCAACCTCGGTTCCATCCCCAAGCTGACCATATTCATTAGCACCTGAAACAAGGACATAACCATCCCGACTTCAGGAAGTTACGGATTGCGACAGATTCAACAACAAGATCCAACCAAACAACTAACTGGTAACTACTTAGATAGATTTCTATCACATTGATTACAGAAAGAAAAGAACTTTCCATCACAAGAAGAAAGACTATCAAGCCAAAAGTCGAAATGAGCAGATTCTAGTTTATGGAGATTAAGAGACAGACCCCAAGTAAAGAGAGATCCATCTGATGCAACGGCAGCTGTATGTTCCCGACCACAAGATATATCGAGCCAACGGGAATTCGCACCAGCGGGGCAACCAAAAAGCTCAGGAGGAAGCTGTTTTGGGATACGCAAAAGCTTCTCGTGTCCCTTCCTACCAGTTTGTCCGCTTTGATTGTAACCCCAAACGTATATTGCGCTCTTTGTTGGGATACTCACAGGTGGAGCTACTTCACCAATGATTTCTCCAATATCCATATTTAGGACTCCCCTTTAAGATGAATCATACACAAAAATTGTCATCTTTTCGAAAAGACCCCAAATTTATGAAGGAACTGAACAAAACTCTGTTTTTACAGAAATGAGCAGATGCGATCACGAATCAGGCAAGTTTTTCAAATACCCATTCCTAGAGCTAATCACAAATTTGAGGGAAACAATAAATGAAGTTCTTCTATGACTAAGATGACACCACACGCAAATGCAAACTCAATTCCTGAAACTGAAAGAAAGAAAAAGCAACAATCCAGAGAGAATCTGAAACCGTACCTCAAATATCAACAATAAAAATTGGATGAATCGAAAATTCTGAAACTTGTTGTTGCGTTTGGGGCTTTGTTAATGTGTAAGAAACAGAGGTAAAGAGAGAAGCAATGAAGGTCGTTCTCGTTCGTTCATTTGCTCCCAAGAGCTCGGGGACAGAGTCGGGAGACAAAATTTCTGATATTAACACCAGAAGACCTTCACTTTATGGTATATTTACACAAAAGTCCCTAAACTTGTTGTTTTTCTTTATCTTTTCCCCACTTCATAAGACTATCACTGTATCAGTTTTTGTATTCCTTAAATTGAACACTTTATAAGGGAAATTTTAATCTATCGAACGACAATGATGTAAGAGTTTCGATGATTGGAGAGGGAATACAAACAGAGACAAATTCATGGGAGAAAATCACTTAAAGATAAAACATTGCTTCTTGTTTCATGGAAACTTAGAACTGTTGCAGAGGAACATTTTCTCCCTTTCTGCTTCATATATATTTACCATCGTAAATGAAAAATATTCACAAACCAACAAGCCAAATTTACAAATTATTCCTTGCATATTGCCTTGTCATCTTCCCCAGTTTCAGTTCAGATACAGGACTCAGATCAATGGCAGATTATCACGGTGTTTCATTGAACTCCATCACCTGCATTGCATACAAGGAAAATGGCAAACATGGGAGCTCTCCTTAAATCCGAATGAATCAGAAGAATACAACTGTTATGGATTCCGAGAAATGATTTAACTCTCTATCAGGACATTTCTACACACACACATACACTTCACTTCTTCTACCTATCAAACAACTTTACCAGTAGAAGTTATGGAAAGAAAATTTGAAAGTTGAAATGAAGCTCTTTTCTTAATCAGAATGAATCAGAACAACAAAATTGCTATAGATTCCAGGAAAATGTTAGCTTTTAATCCTCTAGACCAGGCTATTTCAAAAAGCGTATTTGCTTTGGCCGAAGTTTTCTAAAGAGAATTTAGAAAAAAGTGGTTACCTTTCCGCAGACAGGACAGTTTTCACTTCGCTCCATCCACTCATAAATGCAACTAAGGTGGAAATGGTGAGAACATTTTGTCACAATCTTTGGGTTCTCCGATGTATATTCTGCAAAAGACCAACAAGAAGATGAATACTTAAAAAAAACTCATAAAGGAAATTGCGAAAGACAACTAGGAGTGGGATTTTCACCTTCAAGACAAGTTGGACAAACATCTTCATCTTCAGACAGTATATACATGTTTTCAGAGTCTACCATTACTGATTTTGACTTTGATTTCAAAATCCTGAGACTGGATTTACTAGAGTACTCTTCTTTGGAATCTTTATCAGAAATGGTGGACTTACTGTTAGCCCATTTGCATCCTCCAGCCCCGAAAGATTCAGAATCTGCATCGCTATCACTTCTTAAAGGTTCAGCTTCATCATGGGAATGACTTGAACCCTTCTCCCGTCTTGAGATGAGTGAACGGAAATATCTAGGATCAGCATCATAAGGGAGAGGTCTTGGTGTAGAACGGAATGCTTCAGACAGAAAGTTATCGTGCGAAGAAGAGGAAGTCATCGATGCAGTAGCTTGAACCGAAGATGGGAGAGAGCGGGTTTCCCCTCTTCTGAAGACCGAGACATACTGCAACGATTAATATGGGCTCAGAAATTTAAATGAATGATCAAAGTAAAAAAAATTGTGACAAGAAGTCTACATTGTGACCATAGAAACATGAAAACTTTTGAGATATAAGAAAGTATCAATTGAAATAAGCAATGTGAAGAACGTACCAAGTTAAGGAAATTATGAGCAAGGCATCTAATGCAGGGACAGTTCCTATACACAGAGCTATTTGGATTCATGTAGTCATCAATGTCTTCTACCCGAAAGCAAGAAGAAACACATCCCATCTTGTCCGTCTCTCTTTCTATGTTAATTTGAATGAATTCCTTTACCCCAACTTTCTCAGACCACAACACTGAGATATCAACAAGTGATAAATATATCCATGCATGTAAATATCTATCTGAATCCGATTATGAGACTCTCAAAAAACTTTCAACGTTGATTGAAAGTTTCTATTTAGAGAAGTATGATTCCCCAAAAAAAACATCTGCTTCAATGATATAATGGTGTTTGATGCCTTGATAACTCCAAAGATCTGTGAAGTGAAGAGAATGATGTGATCAATATTGGAAAAAAAAAAAAGCAAACTTCAAGTAATACAATACAAATTCATCTTAAAGAAACCAAAAGTCCAATTTCTGTTACAGTAGCAAGTGAGAGTTCCGATCTGAACTCTGAACACTTACAACAACTAACTCGAGGTTTCAGTAAAGTGGAATGCAAGCACATAAAACCCTAAATTAGGTTCCGACAACCACAATAAATAATATATCACAGAAGAAGAAAAAAAAAAAAACGAATTGAGATAAGATACACCGAACAGTGAAAGAAGAAGAAACACCATAAAAGAGTAATCAAAAGAAGAGAGGAAACAGAGAGTGTATCATCATCAGCGAAATTTGACCAAAATATAGAAAACAAAACATTTGAGATCAATAAACGATAAAGGGGATCGTAATAATGATCACAACCCACTTCTAGTGATTAAGAAGAAAGAGTAAACCTTTTAATCGAGAATTAGAGCTGCAAGGAGAGAGACCTAAACTGATTTCTTTACTTTACTTTACGATCGAGAGAGGGAGAGAGAGATGAAACAAACAAATAACCAACGAAAGAAGAAGAGTTCCTGAGAGAAGCCCTTTAAATTCTCAATTTTTACTTTAATTAATTGTGCAATTCCCCAGTAATTTCAAAAGTGGAAAAAAGGAGATTTCTTTTTTTTTTGGTTCTGTCGTCGGTGACAGTAAAAGAAAGATTGCGGAGAAAGTGAGGAAGACTGAAGATGGAGAAGAAGATGATGAATGATGAATGATGATTGCTGTTGTGAAGGTGGGTGAGAGACAGACAGACAGAGAGATAGAGAGAGAGAGAGAGAGCTTTGTTTGTTGGATGCCAATGGAGCTTCATGAATTAGCACCCAACACAAAAAATTAAGTTGACCTTTTAAAACACACATAACACTAAACTCCATTAATTAATATATTAATTAGTATTGCTTACTCAATAACTAATGAAAATCAAAGTAGGACATCCATATATTATAGTTTATTAATATGTTCAGATTATGAATTTTCAAGTTTGAAGATAATTCCAATTCCTTTTTTTTCAATTTTATACTTCTACAATTTTCTAGTTTTAATTTTTAGGGTCCGTCGAAATCTCATTGCTTTTATGGGATTTTGATGGAGGACGGATCATTTTTATCTTTTGTTATTCACGCATGGCTCTCCACTCGATTGCTCTCACCTTTTTTCATCGTGTACAGAGAGAAATCAATGTCATCTACTTCCATACTTCTAAAGTAAAAACAACTAACACAACTTTTAACTTAAGATACAACAAACAACAACAAAAAGTACGTACGTATTTCAAAGCTAAATATTTATGTTAACACTAAACAAATCATCTTCCGTTTTAGTTAACTTTCTTATTGTGTGAATTATCAAAATAAAGTTAAAAAATCAATCTGACAACAATAACCAATTAAGCTACGTGGCTTCATATAACGTAAAGAAGTTGGATTTAAGACCAAGCTTCAACATTGTACCTCCCTGCCTTCTCCGAAGCCTTGAGCCACCTTGAAGCAACCTCCTTTCATCCTCCCGTCTCCTCTGACTCAATCTCTTCTAAAGCCAACATTATGCTTACGGTCAAATGAATTTGAGCAGGGTGGGCCAACGGAGACGAAGATATCGAAAAAGCTCTTGCTTTTAGCTGTGGGACTAGCTGTACTAGCCACTCAAAAGGGATTTGTACGGAAGGAAAATCCTCTAGCACCTACATAGTCATTAGCAATACGATCCATTTGGTTAAAAGAGTCAATGCATGTTCAAGACGCATCATGGACCTGTGAGATCTGTTGCTATTTTACCTCAAGAATGCTTTCTTTCTTCCTGATTGTAATTGTAGAGATCATCCCTCCCTTCGGGTGATGCAAAGTATTGAGGTCTCTCCTTCTCATGTTCAGCTGTTGCATAGAAGCTCATAACCTGAACAGAGATGATACATTGCAAGGATTTGCATCATGTACTAGTTTCATAGATAAACCCAAAGCCATATCTACGTAAGATGAAAAGGACTTTCATAAATTTGAAATTCAAATGCATCAGGATTGAAGGATTAAAGGGTTCTTACCTCAAAGAAGTATCGTCGGGGTGAGGCAGATGTAACATCCATTGTTAATTCAACAAAAGTCTTAAGCCTGATAGGGAGCTATGTAATCATTTCTTCATTGACACCACTATTCTCTGTCTCTCTCGGACCAACCTGAAAACATATTAACTCTCGGGATGTATTCTGAATCCCAAATTGGAAAATCTGAGATCATTCAATATCAACCGATGAAAGCTACTTACTGTGATGAATGACTTTGGGTCTAAATCGCAGTGTTCTAAAAAGGCATCTATCGCTGAAGGATTTTCGCTTGAAAGGAGCTCAACAACATCCCCAACTTCATATTGGATAGTCTTAAAAAAGAGGAGAAAACAAAAGAGGTTGATGAGACATCACTCTCAAATTTGATTGAAAGTTGATCTTAAAAGTAAGTGGCTTACAGAGCAAACACATTGGAACTCGAAGTGGCGGACACCCTTTGTGCTTCCAGCTTTAGTCAAGACTTCATTTCTGGTCTACATGGATAGAAATGTTAAAGCAAGCTAGGGGAATAAAATTTCTATCATCCAGGCTTAGCATAATAATGCATACCCAAATCAGACAGTTCAAGAAAACATGTTTATCACAGGCAACATAAACTCCACCAGATTCAAGGTAACAGAGCATTGGTAACATAACCAGTGAGGTTGACTAGCATATCAGAGATAACAAAAAAAAGGAAATTTTAGTTAGGTAACAAGATGTGCATACCATCTTGAGAAAGCAGTCTGGTTTACTTTTGTCCTTGAATAATTTTCCGGGAGACATTCCACGGGCTCTTTGTATGATGTCTGCCAAAACATAAGAGACATATTGTGTAAGATAAATTCCCAAAAAACAGTTAAAATGCTACATAACCTTCAGATGCAAGGGAAATTAATTTCACGAGCCAAAATTGAAAAAGAACATTTGTGAGACTACTTCCCACAGATTCATTCAAACTGATATTTATATTGACATTTCTAGCAATTACCATTAGCAAGTAGCACTTCACTGTTAAGTAGCATAACATAGCCATAAACTAACATAAATGAAGTAAAGTATCCACTCAACATTTTAAGACAGCGATTGTAAGGTTTCCTTGGCAAATCCAAGCATCAGCAAACAATCTTCAAATCAAACTAACAAGCTTTTAAAAATCCAATTGATTTTACTACTACACACACATACTGCGGCTAATTCGTCGGTGGAGACGATAGATGCTGAACATCCCCGGCGTTCTGCTTCGCGGCCAATATGCTCCGCCACATCAAGAACGTTTGGCTGTGATCATACACTTCTTTGGTTAAACCGCTACGGTCATACATAGAAGCCTTTTCTACTCTAGGCAATACTTGAGACTCCTGCTCGGCCTCTGCGTTTCTTCCCATCGCCATCTCTTTCAACAATCTCCAGACCGGTGGTTTCTTCTCTTTCCAACCACTAAGAGGCTCAATTTTTCTTCTTTAATTAGCTTCTTCCACTGTTCTCCTTTCTCCTTCTCTTTTTCCTTCTAGCCTTCTTATCTCAACCACAAGCGAACAAGTCAGAGTATATATCTATACTAGTCTCTCGTTTTCTCTTGACTACTGTCTTCTAACATTTTAAGACAGCGATTGTTTTTCCCTCTGTACATTGTTTCTTTAGGTGGCAGTGGCATAATCTTCTTCAAGCTCTTCGTTTTCAATATATGGTCCTTTTGTTTTGCTGGTTGGTCTCTGCCTAGCCAATATTACAATCAATTCTACACAATATAGAGTAGCAAATAAGAACATCACGACCTTTGTTTGATGCGGAAGTTTTCATTCCCTCTTTCACATTGTCGTTTTTTTAGCAGAGACGTCAAATGAGCGAAGAAAGACGAAAAACAGAGTAAAAATATATAAAAACGGAGCAACATCAGAGCTATACCACTACTATTTCAATTATTTCAGCCAATCAGAAGGCTCTATTTCATACCCACGCGCACCAAACGCGAGTTGCGCGAGTGAAGGCAATTCCTGTGGGTTCTCTAACCCACCAAATCATGCCTTTACGATTCCACGCACTTTTTTCTAAAATTGCCGTCGCGTGGCTTTTTTTTTTTTTTTGTTTTCTTCTTTTCTAAACCAATTTAAACCAAACCAAAATCAATTGTAATTCGAAAACCATTAAAACCAAACCGAAATCAATTGTACCTGATTCGTGAGTATAGTGATAGCTCCTCTGAATCATCCTAGTTCACGGCATAGCCTTTGAATTCACCCGGTGGGATGGGATCTCCGTTGGACAGCTTCGGGTCATCGATCCATGGCTAATTTCTTTCTTCTAAGGATCCTTCTCCAACAAAACTCAATCCTACTTCCAACGGTCTGCGTGTTTGGAAACGATTTTAAGGTTTGTTTAGCCATAAGTTGAAAGAATACCTACGCGGAGAGAGATGCTCGCCGTAGAAGGTGGTGATTCGTCGTTGTTTCCGGTAAATAAAGCACCACGTCGATGTCAAAATCCTTATACTGATTTGGGAGTTTCAACCAAAGTTTAAAGAGGGAGTATTGGAGTTGAACCATGATTCAACCTGCAATAAGAGAAAGCTTCAATGATAAGAGTAAGAAGAAGGAAGAAGAGGAGAAGAAGCAAAGCGCAAAAGGGAAAAGAAGAAGAGGCGTCGGAGCAGAAGAAGCTGCCGCGAAGGAGTCAACGCCAAATAGAAGTCAACAAGTGAAAACCTGATAGATTGGTGAATGAGATGGGGATGGGCCTTGCAGATTTGGTTCTGGTCCAATAAAGAAATGTCTATCAGGTTTAGTCTGGCCCATTCATCTAGTTGTGTCGTCGTAAGCTAAATAGACTTATAAGTTGGTTTGTTTAGACTTAAGAGAATTGCTGGAATAGCTAGATAGGTGTAACAGAGTTGTTCAAACTTTGCTTGTAAGTTGTAACATTAGTCCAGAAACTGGAATCAATCATACCTAATGTGGCTGGTTAATCTAGACTTGAGTGCGTAAGTGTAAGAGAGTAGTAACTAGTATAAGAGTATCCTCGTGATCGGTCAATAACAACATGAATGTTTTTCTCTTCTTCTCTCTTACTAAACGTTTCATGTCTTTGTTTTTGTTTTTCGTTTGTATATGACTATATGTATTTGTTAAAACAAGAAAACTAAACAAATGACAAGAGAGTAAAAGAGAGAACAATATAATCTATGTTTCAATAAAGAAGAGAAACAGAGAGATACTAAAGAGAATGAGAGATGGTAACTGGTGAGCCTCTCAAGTATAAAGAGGAACAACATAAAAATACAACAGTTATATAATAACCAGTTTGGAGAATTGTACTTTGAATATGCTTTTGTCGGCATATCTTAATATAACAAAACTGAAATCAATCTCTACAAACAAAATCAAAACACCAAGCTTAATTACAGTTCTTTGGTTTAACCGCAATGGTCATACGTGAAGCCTTCTACAGGAAATACTTGAGAACTCCTGCTCAGCCTTGCTGTTTCTTCCCATTCCCATCTCTTTCAACGATCTCCAAACCGGTGGTTTCTTCTCTTCTCCGACCACTAAGAGACGCACTTGTTGTTCTTTAGCTTTTTCCACTATTCTCCTTCCTCCTTCTCTTTTTTCTTCTAGCCTTCTTATCCCAAATTCTACCTGACAAGGCTCTCGTTTCATCTTGACTAGTGTCTTCTAACATTTTAAGACAGCGATTGTTTCTTTAGGTGGTGTGGTTTTCTTCTAGCTCTTCCTTTCCAATGGTCCTTTGTTTTGCAGGTTGGTCTCTGCCTAAATGGGATTTGATGATGATTTGCAGAGTCGACGGGAGACGTGTCTGTTTACTGTAGTTAATATCTTCTTGTATGATATCTCACTTGTCACTAATCTATTAGTTGAATTACTTTTTGTGTAGAAAACCTAAAAGAAAACATCTTGCGTTTTATTCTATCATAGTGAAGAAAAGTGGTGATGTACATAATGATTTATTTGCATCTGAGATATACTTTGGTTATATGTCACAGATCTTATAAAAATTTCTTATCTATTGACAGTTTAACACACACACTTGTGAGGTCAAATGAATCTTATGAATAAAATTGAGAGAGGATAAAAACAGATTGTGTATCTTTAACTCATCTGCTAATTGGGAGGTTTATAATATGTGAACACATACATTGGTGCCCTTTTGGGCTTCCTAAAATGTTTGTTTTTGTTTCTTCATCCATTAAATCTCTGTTAATTATACAAAATTAAAATCACTGATAATAAAAAAAAATGTATTTCAAATGCTGGACCAATAAGAATACTGCAATTCGTATTTTCTACGTATTATTATTTCTTTTTTTTGTAAAAGTATTATTTAATTAAAACAACTATAGTTTTTTTTAACGAATTATAGATAGATTTAATTAAGTGTTAAATAATAAAGGAAATTTCTAAATATTATTATTGTCTGATTTTGAAAGTAAAGAATAAGGAAAACGAAGAAGAAGGAACATCGTCTTCCTTCTCTAGAGAAGAGAGTCCTCTTTTCACCGCCTTTGATACTCTCGCTGCTTATGATAAACCCTTTTACCTTCTTCCCCATTTCTGTATATATCTATCTATACAAGAAACCTTTTCCTCGTTGTTCCACTCTTCTATTTGGCTTCGCCAGAAATGGCAGATGACTTGGCGAATCTCTGCCGATTTCTCTTCGACGACACCGCCTTCCCCTCTCTGTCGTCTTCGGCTTCTTCAGATCTCTTTTCTCGCCGTTTACACTCCGATGATTCGATCAAACGCGGTCTCCGTTCTTTCTACCTCCTCCTTCGCTCGGGTATCGCTCCGATCGGCGGAGATGATGATTCCTCCGGCATGCTACGCTTTCAGACCTGGTCCGATTCGCAAGTTCAAGCACTTGTCTCGATTTCCCAGGCGATTCTTCTATTATCGCGATCTCTATTAGGTACTGACTTGACACTTATTAGTTTCAATCAAGGTTTTGGTCTCTATGAATCTGCTTGCCGATTGTTTGATTATAGTCATTCTCTCACTTTCTGAGCTGAGCTTTGATAGATTTGCTTCTTTCTTGTGCTACCCTTTACTTGTTTATTCTCCAGATGAAGCAGTAAACAGTGATTAGGGACCTCGAATCATTTTCCTTACTGTTTTTTTTTTTTCTTTTTCTTTTTTGTTGTATCTCAGTGGACCAACTCGAACCAATAGTTTTGGGTGTCATCCAGGAGGTGATGGAGTTCTCCCTCAGCTTCTTGGAGAAGTCAAATTTTACACAAAATGATCTTAAAATTGAGGTTCGTTCTTTATTTTGATCAGTGTCATTCTTTACCTTCTAGAGAATTTATTTGTCTGTATTTGTATATATATTTAGTTTTTTTGATGAGGCGTTTTGAACTCGTTTTGTAAGTCTTTATCAGGTTTTTGATGAGTGGTTAGGTTTCATTGTTGCACCATATACATTAGTCACATATGCTCACCAACATGTTTCGTTTTAACTTTTCTAGTGAGGGCTATAGTAGAATTACAATCAACTTCCATTTCAAACTCTTCCTTACTGTGTTTCTATCAAGCTTGATAGCATTAGTAATCTCTCCAATGCTTGCTTGAATCAGATAAACATGGAAGTACTTTTGGAAATAGCTTCTTTTGATGGAAGTGAGAAGCAGTATAATATCCTGCCAGCTGTATCTCCCGCAGAAGTTGCAGAACTATGGCCAGCATTTTCTGGCGAGCATGATAATATGGAATTCTATAACCTTGTGAAATGTACTTTTCAAGGTATTAACTACCAATCACTCAGCAATTTTCTTTTCTTACTTAAAATTTATCTGATTACCGTTACATCATTTGGCATGTCAAGCAGGGGGCAGATGCTCAAATGAAGAGAAGCCAGTTGACCGGCTTCTTATTACGCTGATGTCTGAATGCATTGAATCTGATGCCCAAGCGCATTCAGTTGTAAAGCCCTCTTTTCAACAAGACTGTGGAAACCTGAACCCCTTGACTCGACACCTGGCTGTTGTTCACCTTGGCTGTGTTTGTCGTCTGATTATGGTCTGCAACGAGCTTGTTCAATTGCCAAGTGTGTTGGATGAAAAGACGGTTGATCAAGCTTTCCTTGATAAATTGTCCTTCTGCTTAAGAATTTTGAAGCTGCTTGGAAGTCTTTCCAAAGATGTTCAAAGTATTGAAAACGATTGTTCATTGTTACAGGCAGTAGCTTCATTTACGGATACGTTTCCTAAGCTGTTTAGGGTTTTTTCTGAATTCACTAACCACACTGCTACAGAGGGTAATATTGAGAGTCTTTCTCTTGCGCTGCTGGAGGGATTTCTTAATCTCATCCAACTCATTTTTGGCAAGAGCAGTGTTTTTCAGAATGTCCAGGCATGTGTGTCAGTTTCTATTCTGAACAATCTAGATGCCTCAATGTGGAGATATGATGCGTCCTCTTGTAATTTGACCCCTCCACTTGCTTACTTCCCTCGGTCTGTCATGTACACATTGAAACTCATTCAAGATCTGAAAAGACAACCATTCCATATCCAAGATCTGAGGATTTTAGAGTCAGAAGTCACGTATGACAATACCAATTCCTCTGCTGATTCTGTTTATTTCCATCTGAGACAGGAAAAGATCCCATTGCTCAAGTGCTTCGCGGTCGAGGATATAATGAGACTGATATTTCCTTCATCAAGTCATTGGCTGGGTAACTTCTTCCATCTTGTTTATTTCCTCCATCGCGAAGGTGTAAAGTTACGACCAAAAGTGGAAAGGACATATTCCAGTTTAAGATCCAACAGTTTTGCGGAAGTCGAAAGCCAAATTTCTCATGACGATGAAGCCCTGTTTGGAAACTTGTTTTCTGAGGGTAGCCGTTCTCTGTGTTCCGTAGAACCAAATGATCAACCACCTGTTTCTGTCAGCAGCAATTTACCATTGCAAGCTGCTAAGGAACTGTTGAATTTTCTTCGAACTTGCATTTTTTGTCAAGAATGGGTTCCTAGTATATACGAAGATGGATGTAAAAAGCTTGACGCTGGTCACATTGATATCCTGCTCAACATTGTAGGCTGTAGTATTGAAGACAAGGCTTCTGATGTTGGTTGCATGCTCCAAGATGAGGGAAAACCTGGACATGTTGCCTTTGAGCTGTTACTCAATCTCTTAAGAAGTCGTTCTCTGTCTGAATCTCTTGAGTCCTACCTTTTTCAGAAAATTCTTGTTGTTGAAAATAGTGACCTCAACTATAATGATAAGACTTTGGCGTTGTTGGCTCACACTCTTCTTTGTAGGCCGGGCTTGGCTGGGGTACAATTGAGAGCCAAAGTTTATGAGGGTTTCGTTACTTTTATTGCTGACAGAGCAAGAAGTATATGTGCTGAAGTTTTGAGTCTCAAGGAGTTGACTGCATGTCTTCCCTCTGCTTTCCATATTGAGATTCTTCTTATGGCTTTCCATTTATCAAGTGAAGCAGAGAAGGCAAAATTCTCAAATCTTATTGTTTCGTGTCTGCATAAAGTTGAGACCCCGTCAGGAATATGTGATGGTCCCCAGCTGTCCTGTTGGGCCATACTGATATCTCGGTTGTTAGTTCTGTTGCACCATATGTTGTTACATCCAAACACATGCCCAACATCATTAATGCTAGATCTAAGATCTAAATTGAGGGAAGTTCGTAGCTGTGGTAGTAATTTGCATGTAACCGTTGGTGATCATTTATCTTCTTGGGCATCTCTTGTAGCAAGGGGGATAACTGATTCATGGGCTGAAGAGGAGTCACTCAGCCATCTGATGAGTCAAATGATTGACTTTTCCCCACATCCTCCTACATTTCAGAATGATGTGTCTGCTGCCAAAATCCTAAACCTGGATTATGGAGATTTATCTGCAAGTTTGTCCTGGGTTTTGGGGCTATGGAAGGGGAAAAAGGCAGTAAAAGTGGAAGACCTAATAGTGGAAAGATACATTTTCTTACTTTCTTGGGATATTGCTCGTATTAACAGTGCATTAGATAGTCAGCCTTCCTTGCATGTTAATTTCCAGAAATTGGATATAT